TGGGTGCAGTTGGCTGTTACCTTCCTCTGGATTACCCCCCTAGTAACTTGGGGGTTATCTGCACCACACAATGGAAATACAGCACACACAGCAAAGGAGATGACCCCTGCATACTCAAATTGATCTTGGGTACAATTGAAGTGGTTAAGAGGGAAATGATCATTATGGTGCAGAAGGTAAATAGATGTCTGGCACTGGAGAGCTGAAGTGGCTAGAAGTGTGTTAAAATATGAACTCATCTTGCTCTCTGGAAACAAAGAGCCTGAAACCATTATAAGAACTTGATTATTTCCAGTAAATAGGGGTTGCATCTGTATTTGTAGAGTGAAGTCCAAAAAAGCAGTGAATGGAGACTGTTGAGATTTCTAGCTGGCCTTCCTGAGCATATCTGGGGAGCAGGTTTCAGCTGCTCTTTACCCAAGGCTGGTGTCTGATCTCACAGAGGCTCAGTTTCATATTCCTGATGTTTCTTCTGCATCACCCTTCTGGTTTGATTTTCCTTTAATTTCTTAGGATGTTGTTTTTCTTTTCTTTCTTAGGAGGTTCCACTCTATTTATTGAAACTTCCCTGAGGCGACCCAAAGACAAGGAGAGCAAGGATGGGTCCCTTGAAGTAACAGGGCAACTGGGAGATGTAATGAAAGAGAGTGCCAAAATTGCTTACACGTTTGCAAGAGCCTTTCTGATGCAGAAGGACCCTGACAATGACTTTCTTATGTCTTCTCACATCCACTTGCATGTGCCAGAGGTAAACTGATGCAGAGTTCACAGAGCATGCACAGCAGCCAGGCTGGTTTGCTCCCCTAGACGTGAAGCTGGAAGGCTTTTCACTTGTCCACATGCTGCAGAAATGCCCTCTTTTAGCAGTAAAACCTAGGAATGAAGGTGTTTTCCTCAGGTTCCCATGAAAGTCTTCTTATGAGCCGTTTCCACTCCTTTCTGCAACAAGCATGTGGCAAGAATACAGGACTTGGATAATGCTCTAAGGAATCCTAAGCTTTTGTTGTAGCTGTTGGCCCTGGTTGTGCAGGGTGGGGAGAAACTGTGACACAGAGATAAGTGATTTGGATAAAAGTTCATATGAAGTTACAAGGGTACCAAAGTTTAGGTCTCTGTGTTAGTGGGCCTTCATAAAGGCTTCAGGTCATTTACACGTAATTGAAAACACTGCTCTTGATCTCTGTGCCATGGTTCCTAGTCCCTATAATGGCAGTGATTGTGTTTCTTCAATATTTGGGACTGAAAATAAATGCACACAGTGATCAGAGAGGCTCACACACTGTGTAACAGGCTTTGGGCAGGTGCTTTACTGAAGACAGGTTTTGTACTGTGATTGTGCCCAAGTTTTCCTTCTGGACTATTTGCATCCTCTCTGTCTGTCCAGGTACTGTCTTGTTGTCTGTGAGTTTGTTTCCTGGAGGATCAGAAAAGTGTGGACATGATCCCTGTCTCTACTCCCTCTCAGGCATTCATTTCCTCTGTGCTTACCTCAAAGATCTGTTTGATCTTAGATAAATCCAGACTGTCACTAGTTTAGGCCTGGATTTTGTGGGGCTTTATATACTGAATGATCTCTTCTGCCTTGAATGATTTTCAGTATTGTCCTCCCCTATTTTGTGACTCTTGAAGGTCTTCCCTTGTGCTGTTGACTTATGTTTCTTGTTTCCATAGTTGGCTTAGGTCTAACAAAGAACTTCAGAGTGTTTGTGCTCTTTTTTTTCACTCATGTTGCTTATTCAAAGTCCTGAGTCCAAAAAGTATGGTGGTGGCATCAGGCCAGAAACCAAATTGTGGACTCATGGATCATTCCTCATGAAAAAGGTGAGGAATGCCACAGTTGTTAATAGATCAGCCAGTTGAAATAACAGGATTCCATCAGTGACACGTGTTCAAAAACCTTTGTGAGACCCTGTGAAATTGGGGCAATGCTAAAACAGCAAGGACAAGGGGGTTGTCTGGCTTTGCTGCTCCTTTGCTGCTCCAGGAATGTTGCACTTTGTTTTTTTTCAAACAGGGAGCAACCCCGAAGGACGGACCAAGCGCAGGGTGCACCATAGTCACAGCTCTGCTGTCGCTGGCCATGAATTGCCCAGTGAGGCAGAACGTAGCCATGACTGGAGAGGTGTCACTGACTGGAAAAATTCTGCCTGTTGGTGGAATCAAGGAGAAGACTATTGCGGTAAGAGCTCTTCTTTTGTGTCTGTGCATCGTCCTTGAGAGAGCCCTGGGTTGGGCTCAGCAGGGACTGGGACAGCCAGAGGGGTTGCTCCTTGCAGTGGGACAGGCAGTGATTCCATCCACAGGGTGGAGAATCCTGCAGGGGAACATGGGGATCTTGGCTGTAAGGAAAGGGATGGGACCCCAGGCTTTGTGCCAGGGCAGCTGTGTTGGCCTAGTTCAATTCCACCTAGCCTGGCAGAATTGAAGGTAACAGCCTTAACTGACTGTGAGAGCTGTCTGCTCTGTCACAGACTGGCACAGTTCAATCATCTGTGCTGGGTTGAAGTGCCTGTTTAAGGAGGGCATCCAGTGGAGATTTGACAGAATCCATAAGGTACATCCTTAACATCCAGGCTCTGTTCCAGCGTGAATTTGTCTGACTTAACATTTCATACAGTTGTCTGTTTTAGAAAAAAAAAGGAACTTAATGTCTTGTATTTTTGGTTTCAACCCATTGCAGTTTTCAGAATTCCTTTCCAAGCATTGAATCTCTCTCCCTACTTTTCATCTGCACAACTCCAGCCTACATAAGCCTTGCACCACACACATTTTTCTGTATTCAAGAGTGTTAGCTCCTTCTCTGTTGAGCTGGGGCTCCACATCAGCATTCTGTCCCCAGACCTGTTTGGGCTACAGCCTTGTGCAGTGTGATTTCTTTTCCTCATGTGCCTTTAAAATGGGTAGCTGTTTGTGGCAGTACAGGACTAGCCTGTGCTCACAATGTCTTGTGGCACTGACTGGCTGCACTTGCAGGAGTGTGAGGGGTCACAGAGCTAAATGCAGGATCACCCATAAAGTGATGGGTACAAACCTGCCCCAGGAGGAGCAGCTTTGCATTCCATGCTCCTTCCAGGGCAGCTGTCCCTATGCAAAGGCTCTCCAGAATGTTGCTAAGGGTATGGATGGGGTAGGTTGGTCTGATAACCTGTTTCCAACTCTTGCTTTTATCCTAAGCTTCATGCTCACCCAAGCTGGAACAGACACTTAAAACTCTAAAATAATATGAATAGTTCTAAGCAATCCCCTAGTGTGCTCACATAATCCTCCTAAAATGTGTCTCCCCTTCCTCTGTCCCTGCAGCTGAGGTGGCACTGGAGAGTGTGTGTTTTGGGGCTTGAGGGGAGATCTAGAACATCTGGTGACCTGGTGACATCTTGTCAGGAATGCCCTTGGTGCTCTCCAAAGAACAGAGTAAAGCTGGATCATGCTTCTAATAACTGCTCTTGGTTCAGAAATAGGGAAGAGTGTTTCTGGCAGATGGAGGGATTCCTAGGACTCAACAGACTGCCCTACTTTCTTCTCCCCACAGGCGAAGAGGGCGGGTGTTACCTGCATCATTCTGCCATCAGAGAACAAAAAGGATTATTACGACCTTGCTGGATTCATTACAGAGGGACTGGAAGTGCATTTTGTGGAACACTACAAGGAGGTATTTGATATAGCATTTTCACAGCTGGATCTGGCCGGGGGATGAGGACACCCCGTGCCCCGATGGCTGGAAGGTGGTCAGTCCCTCCCGCTCGGCCTCCGCCCAGGGACGGGTGACAGGGCAGTCCTGGAGGGGACGTGGAGCTCTTGCTGCTGCGCAGCTGCTGAAATGAATGATGGCTCTGCTAGAATAAAGGATTTCTCACTCTTTAATACTGAATTATGATCCACAATAAAGCATTTCTGATTTTACCAAAGGAACGGGCTGTTATCAGCCACCAGCAGCGGGGCTGGTCTGGTCTCTTCTCATTGAAGATGTTTCAGTTATTTCACTGTAAATCTCAATACAGCTCGTGGGAAAACACTGAACACTACACCCAGAGCTGGGCTGATGTGCAGCTTTTGTTCCTGCTGTGGTGGAAGGCAAGTAGCTCTCAGAAATCTGTCTTGGCTTAGAAGCCTGTGCTAGGCTGAGGGGACCCTGAGATCCTAGGACAGTTCAGCAGAGCTGGTGCACTCAGCTGGTGAAGGAACATGGTTCTCCAAGGTCAGTCACAGGTCAGAGCACCACAAAGAACTCCAGGCTTAAGGAGAGCAGATCTGGGCTGAAGAGCAGCATGCTCAGTGTGAGCAGTCAGCACTGTGCTGCACCATAGATGGCCTGTGCCTCTGCAACAGTTCTCTCCTGTTCACAGAGTGAGAGTCTTGTGACATGACTGTTTTATGTCAGTAAGCACAGGCCTGGGGGCCAGAGAACTCAAATACTTCCATCTTACAAGGAATGCTAAGAAAAAGGGGAGGAGTAGTTACATGAAGTCTAGTTGAAAAGTATTTCCTTGTGCAGGAAGAACAGTCCTCATCATTTCACAGCAAGGGAGCCCAGAAAAAAAGAGTCCACCTGCTGAAGTCCAGAGAGTTCTTGCTGACTCCAGGTCTTTCTCATGACTTGTTAACACACTGCACAAGGCAGGGATGAACAGAGAGTACAAGGGGGGAAAAAAGGAGCACCAAAAGCTGCACAAGGAACAGGCTGATGTGCCCTGAGGAAGGGAGTGCAAAGTAGTTACTATTTTCAACAGCAGTTTTTGCCCACTGACTTCCCTCCTACCACCATTTAGGTCTGGAGACAGACTGGTAGGTGAGAGAAGGTATTTAGCTATTGCAGAGACTTCTGTGCCCTGAGACTCCACATGGTCTGGAGGATTCCCCTCTAGAATAAGTCACAGCACCACCAGTATCAGCAGCTGCAGGTAAAATAAACCAGTGATGCAAGTTCTGGATGGCTGCAGTTCAGGGCCTTGTCAGCATCCCCAGCAGCACCCGCTGAAGCACATGTACCACCAACACTACCCTGGCTTTGGGAGAAAGGACTTTATTGTGTTACAGCCTGTACAACTCAATCCTTCTTTGCAGCAGCTTTTCTCATGGCTGCCAGGACGTTACTGAGTTCCTCCCGCTTCCTCTTGGCCCGGATGTGAGTGCCAACCTGTGGGGAGAAAGGGCAGTCAGTGTTCACCCAGCACAGACTGGGGCTGCTGCAGGTGCCACTGCAGACACTCTACTCAAACCCAGGCAGAATGGTAAAGTCCTGGAAACCTCCAGCCAGGGGGCTGCCATCACATCTTAGTGGTACTTCTACACAGTGATTTGGGGCAAGGAAGAAGCTGCTTTCAGCTCTCACTGTTGCCCTCAAGGAATCCCATTTGAAGTCTCCTGGTTAATGGCACCCAACCTCCATCAGTGCTGTTTCCTCCCACCAGACATGCAAACCATGTAAAAACAGCACAGCAAACCTGGATCCCAAGCTTGGGGCCTTTCTGGCTAGGTACCTTTGTGTCCATCTCCTGCTCTCCCACCCAAGCCAAGGACCATCCCCTTCACTCCTTCAGATTACAGTAACTTCCCAAACAACAGAAAAAATAATTGAGAAGCCAAGTATACCAAAGCAAGGGCAGAAAAACATAAAGCTGACACAGCAGTTTCTGCCATCCTCGTTAGGAGGATGGACTGACCTACCCGCTTCTTGATGAACTTCAGAGCACGTTTGTCCTTGGACACCTTCAGCAGCTCCATCGCGCGGCGCTCGTAGGGCGCAAAGCCACAGACTTCCCTGATCATGTCCCGCACAAACTTGGTGTGTTTGGTCAGGCGCTGTGGGGAGGGAGGAGATACGTGGATCACGAGGAGTGTATGTGCTGGTTTATCCTGGCGGGACTGGACTGCAAAGGGCCGCGGCAAACTCTGGGCTCGGGCCCCAAAACCAGCCCCTGCTGCTGGATGTCCCAGGGGAGCTGATCCCTGGCAGGTACCAAGGGTGAGCTTGGGCAGGTGTGCTGGTCTGTCCTCACTCCAGCCCCGAGACGGGAGGTTTCACACACTGGCAGCACCACCGTGTTTGGAAAACGCAGGGCCGTGAGATCCCGAGGGTTTGCACTGCTGCACACCTCGGACACCACAGCTACAGCCAGCACTGAATCAGAGCGGATGAAAGGCACAGATGCGTTAATGCCTCATAGCAACCCACGCACTCAGCGAACCTGGACAGCCCCGAGTCGTCATTACTGGGCAGTTTTGCGGGGGTCGCCTGTTGTCGTTACCGAGAGAAACAGAGTGGGAGAGACTCCAGAAGCCCCTGAGCCTCCACTGCTCCCCGCCCGGCCCCTGTCACGGGCAGCGCGGGGGTTCCGAGCCCTCCCGCCTCCCCACGGAGACGGCCCCGAGTCGCGGCCCCGCTCCGGACACACGGACACACCCGCACCGCGAGCGGCGGGCCCGGGGCACCGCGGGCCGGCACAGCCCCGTACTCACCCCGCGGCGGCGGCACTGCCGAGGCTTGGACACGTTCTTGGTCACCTTGTAGCCCTTGTTGAGGCCCACGGCCATGGGGTAGCGGATGGCCATGGCTGCGGGGCGGCCCGATGGGCGCGGATGGACTGGGATGGACGCGGATGGACTGGGATGAACTGGAACGGGAGCAAGCGCCGGGTACCCCGGGCAATGGCGCCCGACAGGAAGGAGCGAGCGCGCGCGGGGCGCCGGGACGGGGACGGTTCCGGCTGCGGGCGGGGCCGAGAGGGCGGCGGTGTGAGGGGATGGGGGGGTCATTGTGCGGTGTGAGGGGATGGG